CCTCCCATGTGCACAGTGTATCTGCATAGAGCAGTGTACAAAACTCCCACTTTTGTGTGATTCTGTTTTCTTTTACTCTCCTCGCTCTTTGCCTAGGGGTACCCTCGCATTTAATTCTATTTCAACCCCATCTATATCTAATTTATTTTACTTCACACGGTGACATCACACATATTGTCTAAGGCCTTCCTTTTACTGGGAAAAAAATTTCCATCTTTCTACATACTCTAACTGAGCCTCACTATCCTCGTAAAAAAACTCTTCACTGCTTTCAGTAACCTAACCTCCTACAACCATACACTTGGCAAACATCTGCCACATTGCACCCTTTCCACCTTTGTCATTCGCCTTTTCCAAATCCATAAATGGGCCATCAATAGGGACCTCCTTTAGCTTATCTAAATACTGGTTCACTTATATGTTTCATAAACACCTGGTCAAAAACCCTTACATTTCCTAAAGCCCTCCTTGATCATTCTGCTATCCCTAAATTTCCGTCTTACTCTTATTTCTTTTCTATTATTAACACTACATACACTTCTACCAAGGTAATACTCAACAAGACTTATCCCCCTATAATTTTTGCACTCTCTTTTATACCCTTTGCACTTTATACAATGGAAACTATGCCATGCTCTCTGCCAATACCTAGGTACCTTACCCTCTTCCATACATTTATTAAATAATTGCACCCCAACCACTCCAAAAACTATATCACCACACGCTTTTAACATTTCTATCATTTATCCCATCAATCCCAGCTGCTTAACCCCCTTTCATTTTACCTACTGCATCAGGGAACTTCCCCCACACTCACCAACTGGGCTTCTTCCTCATCTACAAAAGATGTTATTCATCCTTGCCCTGATACACGATATCACACGCTTCCCTATTTTTCATCAACTTTAAACAATTCATCAAATTATTCCCTCCATCGTCCCAATACCTCTAACTTCCATTGTAATAACTCATCCTCTCCTATTTTTAACTGACAAATCCATTTGTTCTAGGCTTTCTTAACTTGTTAATAATCACTCCAAACTTTTTCTTATTTTCATCAAATTTGTTGATTAACTCACCCACTCTCTCATTTGCTCTCATTTTACATTGCTTCACCACACTTCTTAAACTCTCTCTTTTTCTCCATTATACTCTTCCCTCCTTGGCATCACACTATTTGCAAAAACTTCTTCATATGATAATCATTTTTCTCCCTTTACTACTTCTTTACATCTTCTATTCCACCAGTCGTCTCTTCCCTCCTGCACCCACTTTCCTGGAACCACAATTCTTTTCTGCTGAAACACTCTAACCACTACATTTTTAAACCTATCCCCTTACTTTCGACCCCCATGCCTATGCTCTCATTTGCCCATCTTTACTCCAAATTGCTGTTTATTTCTTTCCCTAACTCATCATCTTTTTGTTTATTAAAACCTTCACCCTCTCTTCTTTCCCTGATGCTTCTATTCCTCCTTGTATCCCATCTACCTTTTTACTCTCTGTGTAGCTACAATAACTAGCTAAGTGATCAGTTATATCTGTTGGCCACTCTATAAAACTTGGAAAACCTGAAGTTATCACAGTCTATTTATCTACACATTACTAATTCCAAACCAAAACTAATGTCATTTCGCCCTAACATCTTATCTTGTTATACTTAATTATCCTCTTTTTCTTATAAAAGATGTATTACCTATAAACTATTCCCCTTTTCTTACCACAAGGTTCAATCAAAGGGTCCCTTCTATTAATTTTTACACCTGGCACCCCAAACTTTACCTACCGTCACCTCTCTAAATAGTTTCTCCTACTTTAGCATTCAGGTTCCCCTACCACCATTTACTCTCTCAATTGGTTCAAAGGCTCCATATACATTCACTTAACATCTCCCAAACATTTCTCTCTCTTATCCTCTGCATTCCTCTTTTCTCCAGGTGCATACACGCTTATTATGAACCCAATTCTTCGAATCACAACCATTACTTTAACAACTTTAATTTCTTGCATTTTACACTTTATTATTATTCTTTTCTACTTCCTTAAACTGAACATTGAACTTTACTGCTACCGCTTCCTTTGCTCTAACTCTCTCTGATTACTCAAGATTTAATCCCATTTTCTTTCCCCCCACTTGAAACTCTCCTACCCCCTTAGGCTTTGTTTTCGCTTTGGGCCAGGAATCACAACTTCTTTTCATTCATAAAAACATCAGGCAATCATTGGTTATTGTCATCGCCCACTTCATCAACGCAAATTTTAGGCATCCTGTTTTTCTTATAAAGTTTTTCTTCTTCTCTTTTTTAGTATAAATGTCTTACAGGAGATGGGGTTACTAGCCCATTGCTCCCGGCTACATTTTAGTCGACTCATTTAACGTCACGCATGGCTTTCCGGAGAAAGATTCTTTTCCACTTCCAAGGACAATAGAAGACAATAAAGAAGGAACAAAGAGGCTATTTAGGAAAAAGGAGGGGAAGAGATAAAACCTAGATGTATGTTTATATATTATGCATGTGCGTGTCGGTGAAAGTATGACCAAAGTGTAAGTAGGTAAGTAGCAAGATATCCCTGTTATCTAGCGTCGTTTAGAGACACAAAAAAAGAAACAGGCAATCTACAATCATGCAAAAACAGTTAAAGGTTTTTTGTTTCACAGTCAATATGGGCAGGACGGTTAAGTACTTCCCTGGGTGGTTGCCTGTCTAACCTACCTTCTACCCTACAAATAAATAACTAATTAAAAATAATAAAATTTTTTTAAAGCTAGCACTAGCAGTGTATATGAGTTTTTATTACATTTGTATGAGATTACTGTTTATTTTTATTTGCTATAAAATATTTATATTTAAAAGCTTTAGAAACATAATATACATATATTAAAAATGTAAAGTATTACTTTTTAGTTAAATTTGATGTTGACGAGGGAATTTTTAATGGACATAGATGTCGAGTTAAGCAAGGTAAACCTTCATGAAGGTATTTGGGGAAGGGAAGGGAGAAAAACTGGTTAGCCAGACTTTAGTTCTGGAAGTGGGAAGGGCAGTGCCTGTACTCTGAAGGAGGGGTAGGGAAGTTGCTGTTGGAGGGTAATCTGAATTGTGATGTCGGCACACTTCTGGCAAAACAATATATTGAATTATAGTGGTGAATGTGTTTTCTTTGCATCACCCTGCCTTGGTAGGAGACAGCTGTTGAGGAAAATATGTGAATGTTTATTAATGACATATTTATTGGTTAATTTGCTTTTAACCCTTTGACTGTTTCGGTCGTATATATACGTCTTACGAGACCTGTGTTTGACGTATATAGTATACTAAAAAATGCTAGGCAGGCTTCAAAATCAAACAAGGAAATTCTGGCTTGGCCCACATGCTGAGAGAATGGGTCGGTGGTCAGTGTTGCTCCATATAAAAAAAAATTTCCTGCAGCACACAGTTGGCTTAATGAGGAGAAAAAAAAAACTTCCAAAACTGTTTTTTTTAATTAAATGCCGACTTTGTGGTCTATTTTCGTATTAGTATTATGTTTGTTATTTTTTGTTTTCTTGGTTCTCATTGATAGTATGGAAACATATTCATAGTTATAGAGGTGATTTTGATTGGGTTTTTTCTATGAAAAGAACCCTTGTATATTGGGAGCTCAAAGTAGGGGAAATGTTTGATTTTTGCCACGTGTTTCAAAAGTAAACAAATGATATCATTTTCCATTAAATGTCCAAGTTGCCATTCTAATATTCAGGTCATGATTGGGCTGACAATTTTTATTTACAATTATTACAATATTGTAGTAGTCTGATCCAGTAATCTTCTATTTGTTGTTTGAATTAAAAATTCAACAAATTAGAAACAGAGGAGGCTCTGGTGACATGACTGATGATCAAAGAAAAAATGTTATTTTAGAGCAAGGGAATGTTTGCATTGTTCATTCTAGACCCTATATTTTGAAAATTGTCATATTTTTTAATTTTCGTGAAATTGGCCAAAATTGCAAATTTCTTACCTCGTTATTGGGTAGTTGCAAAATTGGTTTAGATGGCGGCAGTTTCTTGTGCTCATCGTTAGGGGAAAAATGGAGTTCTAAAGAAACTAGGCTATGAGTTGGGTTGACTGGACCAATGTAAAAGTTAGCCAAAAATATGGCTCAAAGTGGGCAAAATCGCCGATTCATATATACATGTATTGCTAGGTCGCTAACTTAGCGAGGAGGCGTAAATTTCGTCAGTTTTCCATTCAAATTTCGTTTTTTTGGTGTCATTACAATCGGGGGAAAAGATTCTCTTATTCTTTTCGATATGAAAAATAATTGGGCTGGGAACGTTTGCGACACCAGGAGACAACCTCAGGGATTTGGGGTTGTGACCGTCAAGGGGTTAGTCGTAATTGGTAATATTAGACAATTATAGTATTAACTTGGGATTCTTCTTTTTATCCTCTCTCCACTGTTGACATTCTTCCAAAATTTGAAAAGGCTCCTTCTGTGATGGCTCTTTTTTTTTAAATAAAACTATTATTTTATTTTTTTAAAATTAGTTCAAAAAATCTTTTGCTAAAGGGGGGCTTGGGACTTCCAGCAAGCACTGTGTGAGATGTTAGATAGGAGTGATGGAGATGTAATAGTTTTTTGGGACCTGACGAGCTGTTGGAGTTGTGAGTAAGGTAATATTTAATGAAGGATTTATGGAACCGGTTTAGCCTGACTTTGAGTCCTGGAAATGGGTAGTACAATGCCTGTCACTTTAAAAGGACGCATTTGCGATATTGGACTGTTTGGAGAGACTTTTAAAACTGTTGTATCTGAGCACTCTTGCAAAGACAGTGATTATGTATGAGTGAGGTGAAAGTGCTGGAATGATGATGAAAGTATTTTCTTTTGGGGGATTTTCTTTCTTAGTTGGGATCTGCCTGATCGGGTGAGAGACAGACCGACTTGTTGAAAAAAAAAAAAACGCAATAAAAAATAGAAAATTTTTATATAATACTTTACTGTGTTATACACAGGATTTGAAAAAGTAAGGTCAGAGGAGCAACTTTATGCAACATGATTTGCCCAGTTTGAGGCTATTTTAGGAAAGTTTGGGACATTACAGGACAGGGACAGACAGCACAAATGGTAATGCACACACACGCACTTGCACAAATGCATACACACACCACCACACACAAATGCCACAAAATGCATTACACAAACACAAAACATGCACAAAATGCATGCACCATTCACAACAATGCATGCTCCACACACATATGCACTTACATGCACAAATGCATGCAACCATGACACACAGGCATAATAGAAAAATGCTCCACACATGCAAAAATGCATGCACACATACATGCACAAAATGCCATGCACATCATACTTGCACAAATGCATGCACCACACACCACCAACATGCACAAATGCTTGTACACACACACACATGCACAAATGCTATAGCAAACCACACATGGCAAATGTATTCTCCACAATTGCAATTGATTTAATGCAACACTGCACATACATTGGCACAAATTGCATGCCACCACATACATGGACAAATGCTTGCACCACACTCACTCACACACACACACAACATTGCATGGCACACACCACATTTGTACAAATGCATGCACACATGCACCAATTGGCATGTGCACAACACACACACACACACATATGTGCACACCATACATTACACACACACCATAGCAGTTATGTATATAGATTTTATTACATGTAATATAGTATAGAAATGCAGTTGAGAGATTTTATTTTATTGAGGTGACTTTTAAATTCCTTAATAAACTTGTTAACTTGTGTAGCTTTTTAGCTTCTTTTGTTGTGAACTATTCCAGATTTTTGGGTCCACTTTATTTGCTTACTTTTTCTACAAAAGGATGATTTTGAAATTAGGAACATCGAGTATTGAGTGTTCAGAATTTCTTCTTTTGTTTTTAGGGGGAAAAAAATAAGAGGCAAACCTTCTCATGTCAACTGAATATTCCTTTAACTGAAAGAAAGTTGTACAAAAATTAGCCCCAGTAATATGCGGAAGTGGGGTGTGCACCACTCAGACTGGGGGGAAGGACCTTGGATTGATTGAAAACTGATGTGCATCAGCAGCAAAGTGAAACCAAGAAGAGCTTTTGCCCCAGGTTATTCTAAATTACAGTAATGTTCATGGCTGTTAAGTTACTGTAACAATGGAAGGTGTTTATTTTTGGTGATAAACCTAATATCAATAGTATTTAAGATTGTTAGTTAGAATATTAGCAAAATTAAATGTAATTTTTATATATATAATATATATAAGTGGAACCACCCGCATATCGTTTACCTTCCGAATGCGACCAATTGTGTAAGTGTATTTATGTAAGTGCGGTTTGTATGTGTATGTTTGGGGGTCTGAAATGGACTAATCTACTTCTCAATATTCCTTTGGGAATTATACATTTCGGTCAGTTTTACTGGCACCTGAACATACTTTGGAGTGAAAAATATATCGTTAACGGGGGTCCACTGTGTGTGTGTGTGTGTGTTTATATATATATATATATATATATATATTATACTATATATATATATATTTATATATATATTATATTTATATATATATTTATATATACACACACACCACACCACACACACACTTATATATAGGATGGGGTCCACCTCTGGTGGTAAAATTGTGGGGACCCATTGCTCGGAGGGGAAGTGGATGAATAAAAAGGCTCTCAGGAAGAATATTTGGGATTTTCTTCCTGAAAGCATTTGTTATATTCCACTTCCCCCTACAACCCACATCTTTTAAACTATTTTTTTTTCCAATTGGAATATTTTATTACTTAATATGGCACAGAAGATTTAAGAGATACATTCGTTGATAAAAAGGTGACTTATATATATATATATATTTATACATGTTTGGTTACGTGTGGTACTCACCGATTATAAGGCGAAAATCTCATTCCAGCTCCTCAGTGCTGGGGCGCTGTGCCCAAAAATGCAGCAGGGCCATTACCCCTTTGATCAGACCGCGCTGTGCAGCTGGAACCAGAATACTAGATGCCTGGGATCCATAGTTACCCTGATGAGTCTTTTTTCCCAGTCCTTTAAGGAATTTAGTTGCATCTTTCCCCTGAGCCAAGGGTCTCTGAGCATATGGAGAACAAAAAACATATAATTGATGGGGCAAGTTCTCCATATTTTCTTTAGTACTTTTGGGGACTCCCTAAAGCTGCAGAGGCCCTCCTTCCTCCCTGGTGTAATTGGAGAGATAGGGTTAATCAGCCAAGGTAGATGCACATGTATATATATATATATATATTTTATATATATATATATATATATATATATATATATATTTATTTTATATATATAATATATTATTATATTATATATATATATACAGTGCACCTCCCGCTAAACGATCACCTCCAAGTTGCGACCTATTATGTAAGTGTTTAATTTATGGAAGTGCGTTTGTACGTGTTGTTTGGGGGGTTCTGGAAAATGGACTCATTTACTTCACAATATTCCTTTTGGAAAAATCTCGGTCAGTACTGGCACCCTGGAACATAATACTGGAATGAAAATAAGTTCGTTAAACGGGGGTCCACTGTATATATAAATATATTTAATATTTTAATATATAATATATATATATATATATATTTTATATATATTTTTATATATATATATTTATAGATATATATATATAGATATATATTTATTTATATATATATATTTATTTATATATTTGATATTTATACAGTGGACCCCCCGTTTTTCGATGGCATCACATAGCGATTAATCCGCATAACCGCTTGCTTTAATCGCAATAATATTTTGCCTTGCATACCGCTTAAAAAACCGCCTACCGTTTTTCGTTCGAGGTCGCGAGCCTCCCAATGTGCGGCCTCAGCCAAGCTCACATGTTCTGCCGGTGGCATTGTTTACCAGCAGCATCCGCGGTAACTATCCATGCTTACAATCGGAATATTTCGTTTATTACAGTGTTTTCGGTTTGCTTTTTCTGGAAAATAAGTGACCATGGGCCCCTAAGAAAGCTTTATTGTGCCAACCCTACAGCAACTTCTAAGGGTGTGAATTACAAATAGAGATGAAAGATATAGAGCATTGATAAGTATGGAAAAAATTGGAGTTGCGTTGTTCTCCGTGCTGGCCAGAGGTTGTATAATAAACCCCAATCAACCACGCTAACTATTGAGAGGTACAGCTGCTGCTGCTGCTTGCACTGTCAGCTGCTGCTGCTGCTGCACTGTAAGCTACTGCTGCTGCTGTAGCATCGTCTGCTGCTGCTGTAAACTTCGTTCTGTTGATGCTGTTTGCATCGTCTGTTGCTGCTGGTTACCACCGTTCAAGCTGCTGCTGCTGACTGTGTAGCACCGTTTGTTGGTGTGCCTTATTGAGAATACCAAGAAACAATTTAACCCCCAAGGCATTTTGCACCACCAGGATACACAAAAAAAGTCAGGTGTCATTCGAAAAAGGAATGTCTAACTTATTTCCATTGGGGGTCCTTAATCTTGTCTCCAGGATGCAACCCACGGGCAAAAAGAAGTCGACTAAACACCCAGGTGAACAGGGAAATAAGCCTGGTAATAGTGCTCATTTTGGTCGATGAATTTAAAGCAGCAAAGGTTGGTTTGAGAGATTTTAAGAATCGTAGTGGCTTTTACATCGTGTGATATGGCCTGGTTCGGAAGGAAATGCCAAACAGGACATACACGTACTCAGGAGGAAAGGCTCTCCCAGGACACAGTGGTCTCATCTGTCATTGCTGCAGCTTCAATAAAGTAATGTGTCATTTATTTTCTTTTAGTAGACTAGTACATGCACAATATATACTGTGCATGGTACTACTTCTATATTGCTGATGTATCCTTCTTTTGTTGTGTGGGAAAATGTTATATGTCATGTGCCCACCCCAGTTTTTTTTAACATTTTTTTTTTCATACCTTTTGGGTGGTCTTGCCGGTTAATAATTTGATTTTCATTATTTCTTATGGGGGAATATTCATTCGCTTACCGAATTTAGTTTAGCATAAACATTTACCCCTCTTGCACGGATGTATTAAAATCGTTTTGCGGGGGGTCAACTGTATATACTATATATAAATTATAAATATATAAATTGCAAAAGGTTAGTGGATGAGTTTGGGGAATGTGTAAAGGTAGAAAGTTGAAAGTGATCACATAGATATGAGTAAGTCTGAGAGGGTATCTATAAATGATTTTAGTATAAAAAAATTTGGATATCAAATTGGGGAGGGGAGTATGGAAAGAAGTGAATGTTTTTCAGATACTTGGGAGTTGTACGTGGTCGACCGCGGATTGGATTTATGAAGAATGAGGTTAATACATAGAAATTTTTTTATGTGGGAAAAATACCGTGAGTGGTGGTTGAGGTATTTGTGGTGTCAAATAAAAAGGTTATCTATGGAGGCAAAGATGGGAAGTATGAATGTATAGTACTACCAACACTTTATATGGGTTGTGAAGCTTGGGTGGTAATGCAGCAGCGAGGGAGACGGTTGGAGGCAGGTGGAGATGTCCTGTTTAAGGGCAATGTTGTGGTGTAAAATATTATGCAGAAAATTCGGGAGTGTGGGAAATTTGGAAATGGTTGTGGAGTTAATTAAAGTATTAGTCAGAGGGCAGACGAGGGGAGTTTTGAGGTGGTTTGGTCGTTTAGAGAGAATGGATCAAAGTAGAATGACATGGAAAAGCATATAAATCTATAGGGAAGGAGGGCGGGGTAAGGGGTCGTCTCAAAAGGGTTGGAGAGAGGGGGGTAAGAGAGGTTTTGTGGGCAAGGGGATTGGACTTACAAGCAAGGTGCTGAGGCGTGTTTAGATAGGAGTGAATGGAGACGAATGGTACTTGGGACCTTGGACGATATGTTGGAGTGTGAGGCAGGGTAATATTTAGTGAAGGGATCTCAGGGGAAAACCGGTTTTTGCATTATAGTCGGACTTGTGGTCCTGGAATTGGGGATGTTTCAAT